AAAAACAGAAAATTATGTAACAACCTTTGTTTGTGAGAAAAATTAGAGAAATTCCATTGCTCAGTTTGAGAGAAGTGAACCTAACGAATTTATGCTTAGGCTACGCAGCAAGTTGCATATTTGGCAAGTTGTCTACAGCGGTGGCTATTCTTCCAATCTTTGTCACACCTATGCTAGCGTTTGGAGGTAAATATCTGATTTACCCCTCTTTTTAATTTAAAAAAAAAAACGTTGTTGAAGGTTACTTCATTAACCAAGCGAGTCTTCCCTGGTTCTTCTATCCGTTCAAATATCTCTCGTATTTTGGTTATGCCTTCGAAAGTTTGGTGGTGAACGAGTGGACTCACGTCGATTCAATTTCCGGTATGTCCATGGCAATTTGCTTATGGTTTAATGACCTCGTTTATTTCAGGCTGTAAACCAAATGGCACAGGCTGTTACAATAACGGCACGGACGTGATTGCAAGGCTTAGCTTTTCCCCTAATAAGATGTGGATCAATGTCATTATAGTTGCAGCGATGATTATCGCCATTCGTACTTTAGCGTTCGTGGGCTTATTTACAAGAGCCAAACTTAAGAAATGATTGGTGTAAACAGATTGGTCTTCTGCACCACTGAAACAAATAAAGTTCCATTTAGAAAATTGGCAAACAGCAACAAAGTTTTTGTTAGGTACATTGCACACTATAGTCAACAAATATACAATAGCAAAAAAACGGGCTACTTCACTTAACAAATTAAAAGTTTAATTTAATAATATCCGTATATCGAGATTTTTGAACGACACAGAGCAAAACTGCCGTAGTCTGACCCCAAATATGACGACTAACACGAGCGAATCAGCGGCTCCCGTCCTTCAGAAAGCGCATTTTCAAGCAGTCTTCACCGACGATGTTGAACTAAGAAGATTAGAATCCATAGTGAGAGATCGACAAAACTGAGTCCATAAAAAATCACCTACCGTTGATTCCTGGTGGTGGTTCACGGAAATGTACTTTGAACCAAGCAAGAAGTTGATCGAGAGACGGGAAGAACTTCTGTCGAAATTTCAGTCCCTCGCTGGTCACTACGAAGAAGTGGAATGAATTTTACATTATTTGAAAGCGGATGCTCAGACAGCGGCGAACCTGATATGTATTCATGGCATGGCTTTACTCTTGCTAAATAAGAAAGAACAAATTTTGCAGGATATGTTCGAGACGCGGTCAATGTGTATCTGCAATACAGGATGAGTGGAAAAGTATATGAAATACATGTAACTAACGGTATCCGAGAAGGAGAAGCTCTCTTCTCATCGCGTAGTTTTTGCTCAACCTTATCTCGTTCCTCAGAAAAAGTACCATCCATGTAATACTGCAAATTCATAGGACTTGATGGAATTAAATCAAGACAGCACAGAAACCCACTTTATGTGACATAACATCTCTGCAAAGATCCGCCATCGGATATAGAAACCGAGCAATTGCCTCATCAAGGTCATCAAACTCTTCACCCCTTCAAAGCAGCATTGAGTTCTCATAGTTCATAGATAAAAAAGGACCAAGCTCACAAAATGGTGAGCCGTCGACCAAGTTCACTAGGATCATCTTTGTCATGTTCTTCAACATCAATATTACCAACAACACCATCAGTCACTTTCCAAGATATCGTCAATCGGTTATTCGACTTCGCCGAAGGTCGAATCACAATGTCGCCCTAAACAATATTACTCCTTTAGCAG